CTTTCTCTTATATATTACTACTATTGAATTGACTAATTCTATGAATTTGTTGTTCATTTTGTTGCGTTAATGAAGTATGGCAACTTGGACCGATGTATATACGTGCCTGTTCCTACGTTGTGGCTGACTGATTGAGTGTCTCGTGACTCATTCATTAGTTTGCATTTTTTCGAAAGAGTGAGAGGAATATATATTTCTAAAAGCTGCATATGACAGGTAATTAGTATAATGAGACGAAACACTAAACAATTCGTATTTAAGCGTCTTGTTTTCGGGAAGTGAAATTAATTGAGAATATCATGTATCTACATGAATCGGAGTGGTTTTTACTAAGATAGTCACAAAACGCATGGCTTGTTGATGTCATTAAAAGAATCAACAAAGTTCAGAGTTGGGAGGTAGAATTATTTTACTCAAGGCTCGTAATAATAATTGTGGATCACATACTTTAACTCGCATAGTAAGCTGTCTACAAAACATATATATATATATATATATATATATATATATGGTAATATTTCCCTATGCGTAATCAATTTTTAAACACACGATATCTAAAATTTAGACGTTTTAGTTGATTATTTATTCACCTTTTTTGAAGAGAATCTTGAACGTAATATTTTTTTCAGGATGAATAGTCATTCATACAGTAGACATTGGAATGGGGTCGGTGACCCTGTACATCCGTTATCACGTACTGGACATTCAGCAGTATCCCATGGACGGTACATCTATGTTTTAAATGGTTACGGCCCTTCAGATGATAAAGTAAGCTGTAGCTCTGTTTATTTGTTTGACTGGATTTATTAGAATCAAATTAATTCGCTGAGTATTCGAAATTTTGTGATCGATTGTTTGATGTTCGGCACGCAAATAGCAGTGGTAATAGTCGATCGATACAGGTTTCATAGTTGTCGAGATTGATTGCGAGTGCATTTTTGTAGCGTTGAGGAGTGAAGTTTGCTAGATTTCAGAAGAGAATATATTTTATCTTCGTACCTGTTTTTGATTGACCGCACCAGATATTCCGGCTTTGTTTTATTTAATCTTGGGTTAATTTAAGTTGTTCATTTATTCTCTGAAGAAGTGGTTTACACTAAGTCACAAAACATCAGAAAATTTAAAAAAACTCAATTTTTTTACTCAGAATGTTACACATATATTACTTTTATTAATAACAATCTACCCAATGCTCACTTTAAAACTATCAAGTCAAACCTTGGTAATGACACCTGTTCTCAAAAACGTTTACATAGTAGATGAAGGGGTTTAGGTGGATGGGAAAGAGAGAAAAATAAAGGAAGCTAATCATATCACATAAGTTGCCCTTAATCAGTTGTTTATTTTTCTTAGGAGGTTGGTTTTAAAATGAAAGTGATCAGTGAGGTTATGGAGAAGTAATACAGGTGGTTCATAAGATATATTATTATCTGATAGTTAAGATGACAAGTCAGTCAGTCAGCTACAACATAGGACCAGGCACATATATGCATCGGTGGTCTTATGCAAAAGCTCAATTTAACAAAGCTTTATCCGTTCACGACGGCCCTAGCTTTTGTTTAAACCAGACATTAACCCATTAAGTCATGAAAAAAACTATAACAGACGTAATGAAAGTATAGTAATCAAGTATAGTTAAGTTATATTGAGAAGTCCCTAACTTTCGTACTGCTGAGTTATTAGTTTGGGCAATTTCGGTTTTACTTGAGTGCAGAAAATTAGTATTATGTTTTGTGGTAGTTCGTGGCAATGGACAGAAATCTGCTCACAATAAAAATAACTCGATTGGCATACTTCTTGAAATCATAGATGTCATAGTTGTTCAACAATTCAGCGGAAGATTAAAGGGAAATTTGGGGAAGACCGAGGATGGTATTTTTTGTTAAATGTACGTCAATCGTATATTTTCATATTACGCATACTTCTCAAAGCAAACATGCCTAGTAATCTTTTTCGTGCCCCTAAATGCCCTGGTATGGCCGAGGGCAGGGTGGGTTCGCCCTCCCTCTTGAAATACTCTCACACGGCCACGCGTATACAGCCCCTGTCAGGGAAGTCCTACTCACTGCCTTCTCATGGCACCGGTGTTGTTTACGAAAATGGGAGAACGAAAAGTGAGTGTCCGGAGCTTTAACCGGATCCCAAACCAATGGTGCATATGGGCTCCAGTAACCTGCGGGAACAAATGGCTTATGAACCAATCGTTGATCACCGGCTACCATGGGACTGCATCTCCTTACGATACTCCAGTGCTTTGTGGGTTAGACCTTTAGGTCAAAGGCTCGGGGTGTGACCCCTTAAGATAACCACTTGCTTCGGTCTGGGCACCCGGGCAGTATCACAGCCCACACACAAATGATGAACTGACTATAATTATGGAAACTATTTTTCGTGCTAACCTCACTTTTCGAACTCTATATGGCATTTAATTTCATCAACTGCAGTGTTTTGAGAATGTTAAACGATATTGAGTTTGAATGAAAATCCTAGTCACAAATCAATCGAGATGAAAATCCTGGTTTCTTTTGCTAATCAAATGTTTTGCAATAAAGATATAGATTTTCGTAATGATAGAGAACCCTTTCAGTGAGGTAGTGATTTAATAAGACGGACGGATTTTTATTTAGTTCGGTAATTCAAGTCAACTACTTCCAAGTACAATAAACTTTATCAAGTTATTTGATGATGTTTAGTTTTATCATCGCCATTTATCATACTGTCAAATATTAAAATTTGTGTGATTCAAATTACGTTTCATACAGAACGGTTGCCTAATTCGGCGATTGTATTTTCAATAATCAGTCTTTTCTTTTTAATCTCATTATTTACTCCTACTTTGTAGAAAATTATACACAATGTTTTAAAAATTCTTGACTCAACTGAACTGTACATTAATGTATGCTGAAAGAGTGAATGTAGAGTTTTGTCATTTACGTAATATTATGTAGTTTATAGTGCGTGGCAACAAACACATATGCACTTTTATTTATTTAGCAATGTATACCATCTTAGTTTGGACAAATATTTATTTGGTATCAGAAAGGGTTTTGTGGAGATTTTAGTAATTTCAATAGCTGAGGTCATGAGTCAATTACAGATAGACCACCATAGAAAACCTGGAAGCACTGGAAGGGCGTTTCGTTCTATTGTGTGTCTGTTATAGCCCAAAGCCGCCAATCAGAAGCAGCGAATTATCTATAGGATCAAGGACGCGTAAAACACGTGCGAGCAGCCTAGAGCTCTGATTGGTTCTGCTTTCCACCTAGCCCAGCCAGTTAAGTCCAGAACGCCAACCTCAGCCTCTGCAATATGTATCATATTTCAAACATACTGAGTTTATGCACCAATCAAACAGACCACAACACAGCATAAAATAGAAAATAACATTTGTACAAAATTTGGCCAAATGTGGCTGTGAATGTGGGAGGCAGTGACTAATAGACAGGGCATAATTCAAGGATGGTAAAACTTATAATAATGGTTCATAGGTCGAAATAAACTTTATAATGAGAGGAATATGAATGTGAATAGTTGAGGCAGTTAACAATTATACGATAAAAATATGCGTTTAGTATTGGTCCATAAATGGATTCCAAAGTTGCCATTCATTATGTTTATCGGGACGTAACAGTGTCGCTCAATTTTGTGGATTAGTTGGAGTTAAACATTAACACCGTTAGTGGTTAAGTGCTCGCACGCAAGACCAGTAGGTCCTGGGTCCGAACTTCGCGAGGCGGGGTTGTGGATTTGTACTAGTGAGGAGTCCCACAATAAGACGAAACGGCCATCCAGTGCTTCCAGGTTTTCTATGGTGGTCTAGCTTCAATTGAGTCATGATCTCAACTATTGAAATATATATATATATATATATATATATATTATATATTATATTTCTGCGAAATTTTCCGGTGCTATTGAGGGTGGGGACAGTTCTCTCTCTTCTGGGTGTTCTCATATGCCCATGTATTTAGAACCTTTGTTTGGGAAGTCTTTCTCACCGCCGTTACCTGACTGCGATTTTTTTTAAACGAAAGTAAGAGGACAAAAGAGCAAACATATAGCTCTTAAACACGGTTTTCGGAACTAGAAAACCTTGATCCGAAATTAATGATGAATGTGATTTCCAATTTCTTGTAGTATTATAAACCTATTTTTATCATCGGCTAACATGAAACGACATCTCTTGACTTTGTTACACTACCGTACATATTAAACCCTTGGATAAACTGCTTTATGTTAACAGATTGATTTGGTTTGGCGATCCGATCAATATCTCAGGGCCCATATCTATATAAAAAAGTATTTGTTTAACGATATATACTGTTTTTGAACCAGTCAGCTATTCAGTAACAACGCAGAGCTTCGTACGTACGTACAGTTCGAGTTGCCATATCACATTAGCACAGAGATGCAGTTGTCGATTCGAATCCCGTAGTGATAGAGGTAGTAAGAGCATAAGCCGTAATCGGGAAGATTACGGTTTGGAGATGTTACTTAAAGAGTATAATACAGTGAAATAAACTTGGGAAGAGAAAAAAAAGACAAGGAGGAATCAGGAGATCAAAATTTGGGAGAACATAAAGAGTGGATGCACCTGCGCCATTGCAAACGATTTTGAGCCATGTCATTTAGGGTCTCTAACCATCGGTTGCTATGATCTTGCGGTTCCCAACCAGGTAGTCTACACCTACCAACATGACTCAGTCCACTTGTCAGTGACTTCATGGACTTGTGCCATGTTTTGGTCTGGCCGCCCCTAGCTTTTTTCCAACCTACTCCTATACCACTGAACATCGCACGTCGAGGTAGTCGGTCGTTCGGCATACGTAACACGTGTCCCAGCCATCTCAACTGATGAAGTTTCATCACTTCATTAATCGATTCGCCATCCTTACCTAGTACCAGAGAGTTCTATTAGATTTTATATGAAATAAATAATCACTACTTATTTGATTCATATTATTTTTTATTCTATTTTCAAAATAAATAAAAATATTTAGATGATACTTTTTGACCGAATTGGTTTAACACGATATGATATTATAACAAATTGTATAGAATGTTTACCTATACATTGGGATATTAAATCATTACAAGATCATATGTTCAATGAATTAATTCTATTAACATCTGGTAATAGTGCTGTATTATGTCCAGAATTAATAAATAAAAATAATGAAAAACAATCAGCATGTATTTATACATTTGGAGGTTATTCACTATTAGGTAATATTCATTTAAATGCATTATGTCGATATGAATTAACTCATACTAATCTATCAAAATATGTAACTAATGATAATGCTACTACTACTACTACTACTACTAATAATAATAATAATATAACATCCACTGGTTTAAGACCACATTGTTGTCATGCTTCTGTAATTAGTGGACATGGTATTTTAAGTTATTTAGCATGTTTACCACAAGATATAATTATGCATCAATCTATTAATTTAACAATGTTAAAATCATTACAAAGACGATTTAATTATGAACATTCAATTAATATAAAATTAAGAAAAAATAGAAATAAACATAATCTTTTACCATCACCACGTGATAAATTTTGTATGGAATATTATAATGGTAAACTTTATTTATTTGGTGGTTATGGTCCACAATTTAAACCATTATCTATATGGTCAAATCATTTTTATCAATGGCCATATTTATATGATCCAAATGATAATCAAAGTTGGATTATATGTGATAATAATGGTGGATGGAATAATCAATTAATTATTTATGATATTAATCAAAATCAATGGAATTTAATTCATCAATTAAATGTGATTGGAAAATTTCCAACACCACGTGCAGCTCATTGTTCTATTATATTACCTAAACATGGTTGGTTCATTATATTTGGTGGTCGTGGTCCATATACTACTACTACTACTACTAATAATAATAATAATAATCATATAAATACATCACAACATTTATCCGATTATCGTATGGGTAGATTAAATGATATGTATTGTTTTAATATTAATTTAATGGAATGGACTAAAATTTTAACACCATTAGATATACCAAATATAATAAATAATCATTATATTAAACAACCAACAATATCATGTATTTGGCCATGTGGTCGATCTTGGATGAATATGACCACTGTCAATGAATCATCTATACAGAATGATTCTTCTTCGTCTTCTTCTTGTTGTTCTTGTTCTTCTTCTTCTTCTAATTATAAACCAATGAATGAAATGAATATTCAATTATTTCTACATGGTGGTTATTCTAATTATGAAGAATCATTAAATGATGCTTATTTAATAAATATTCATTTCTGTAAACAATATAAACAATTAAAAGCTGAAATTATTCATTCTACAAAAGAGGTCAATGTTATATCTAATAATAATAATAATAATAATAATAATAATAATTCCTATTTAATGAATTTAAATAAACAATATTATATTGAATCATTGAATCCAATAAATAATGATACTAATTCAAATAAACCAACACTTATAAATGGTTATATATGTTCACAACAACAATTAATGGATAATAAAAAATATATTAATTTAAATGTGAATTCATTTGGAGAAATTTTATCCAATGAACAATTGTATATAGATTTAATTCAATTGTATTATTCAATGAATTCAAATAGAATAACTGAATTATTTGAAGCTAATCATCATACTACTTATAATAATAATAATGAAAGTAGTAGTATGATAGATAATTTGAAATTATTTTTACATGATTTCAATTATCATTTATATATGTATCAAAATTCATCTTTTACAGTACATAATCATAATCATAATTATAAACCTGAGAAATGTATAAATCCTAAAGAAAAATTATATCGTATTGCTTTATTACATACTATATTTATACAATATTTAAATGAAAATTATTGTTTATATACTATTAATAAATATAATGATAAAGATTCAAAAATGAACTCTACTACTACTAGAGTTACTAGGAATAATCAATTAATTGAACAATTGAATAATATATGTGATATTTATCAATCTGATTTAGAATTTAATCAAAATTCAATATTTTCAACATTTATAAGTATGTTTCTTAAATTTATGTTACCATGGCAAATAATACAAATGATGTTACAAGAAAAAAATAGTTGGTTAACAAATGAATATCGTTTAGAATTAATATATAAATTAATACCACAATTAAATATGATTAAAAAACAAAAAAATTCTTCATCTATATCTATATATCAATTAGAATTAAATAATCAATTTATTCTTAATAAATTATTATTATTATTAATGATACCAAATCAAATACATAATCCAATTAATTATCTTACATATAATCATGATCGTTTATTATCATATATACAACAAACAATTATATCAATATTAAAGTGTTATCATAATCAATCACCATTTTATATTGATATTATAAATACTCCTATGAATATATTTACTGTGAATGAATTATTTCCTTCATCATCATCATCATCTATTATGATGAAACCATTTAATAAACCAATTCATCGTCATTGGCATACTGTAACATTAGGTTTAGATAAACGTATATATGTTATTGGTGGAACTGGTCAAAAAGCATTAGAAATACCATTGGAATGTTATAATTTAAATAGACCAATTCATTTAACTATACAATGTTCTATAAATATAACTAAACTTATTTTATTTAAATTTTTATATGCCATAGAATATGGTTTATTAACAGTTCATAAGAATCAGAATGATAATGATAATAATAATGATAATACAACAATCCTTCCATATTCTTGTCATTTAAATAAAAATAAATTAAAAATAGATTATTTAAAGAATTTAGATGAAAATTTAAAAAATCTTTTAAATTATCATGTGAAATATTTATTAGATGAATGGTTACTATAATGCAAAAAAAAATATTATTAGTTTAAATGAACTATGAACATAACATGTAGTTACTGAAAGTAACATTGATATATTTCAGTAGTATATTATTATTTAAATCATTGAATGTATATATATTTGAAATAAACAAGAATTAGATGAAACTAAAATAAAAGAAGGCTTAAAACAGAGTAGATTGGAGAATGATGGTCGACGGCTTATGCTTCATCAGGAGTAATAGAAGTAAGTAAGTAACATATTTGTCGTTTCATTAACTATAGAATTGATTTGTGATAATTCTTTTATTCTAAATAAAATAGAGTATATCATTCAACTAAGTTTCTTGATCTTGTGTTTGTTACTAGTAATTTGACATTGTACAATGCTTGTATTATTCATAAATATACAACTTATTGTTTTTATGTTTTCTTGTTTATATATTTTGGAATCTGTATGTATCTTGTTTGCTTAATCTGTCTATATTTAAATTGATTGTGGATAGTAAAATCAACTCGATTTGATTGGGAGTAACATGAGTGCCTAATTTATGTCGATGTCTGTTAGTGGGACATAGATTGAATTAAATCATGCCCAATGCACGCTGATTGACTAATTCTTATCCAATCAGCGTTAGTCAATACTTAGTGAACACTCTAGAAATCTCATGTGAATAACTATAAATACACTAACGTTTTCTCTACTACACTACTTACTTCCATCTGACCTTGTTGTTTGGAATGCAATCTCTTTTCCTGTACAACCGTGATCTGATTTAGGGGACTTGTCGAGTGAATCGGTATCCGAGACTACTAGGAGTAGCAAGTTTGTGTGTGAGTGTACGCGAGCGTGTGGACTTTGTGGTGTCATCACAATTCAAGAATCTTGGTTGAATGATTTACAGGATGACTGCCTTGTATCACTACGTGATTTTAAAATTTATCGTCAGGATCGATCGAACAATAAAAAGAGGTGTGGTGGCGGTGTAGCTACGTTTGTAAACATAAACTGGTGTCGATCTTCGTTTGTGTGTTTTAAGTTTTCAAATGACTTTATCGACTGTCTAACTCTAAGATGTCGTCCAAAACATCTAAATAAATACAAATATGTTTATGTCACCAATATCTACGTGACTCCAGATTGCACATCATCTGCACTATCTGTTTTCGCTGATGAATTCACTGAGTTCGCTGTTACTGCCTTCAGTGATTCACTTTCAGTTGTATGTGGTGATTTCAATTCATGTGACTGTAGCTTCCTTACGTCACTAGGTCACCAAAATGTAGTGGATTTTTCTACCCGTTTGGATGCTCATCTAGACTTCGTCTTCATTAATGATGTGGGTATATATGCGACTCGTAAACGTGCTCCATTGTCTAGCTCAGATCACTGTATAATTCGTGTTCTACCTAAAGTATATGGAAAGCATGAGAAGAGTACACTCTTACGTCAAACCAAGAAAGTCAAATATAGGAATTACTCAGAAGAAAATATCCGAAATTTGAAAAATATGTTTCATACGACTAACTGAGAAATATTTACAGGTGACTCACTGGAAATAACTACTGATGTTATCACTTGTTACCTTAAATTTTGTTTTGATATTTGTTGTCCCACTGAAACCATTTTTGTAAGTTTTGATCGACTTACACCTTCACAACTAAAACGACTACGGAGGATGAAAGAAAGAATGTACAAGGAGAAGAACTCTAATGATGTTCGTAAGCTAAATGGTCTGATAAACCTAGAGATTAGACTTCTCAACTGTATGCTTACTCAAAGACTCTTGTCTTACAAAAACTCTCCAAGTATGTGGAAACTCTTTAAGGAACTTACAGGTGACGGACAGTTTAGAAGCGATAATCAGCTGAATGTTTGTGACTTAAATAAGTCTTTTGTACGTAAGTCATCTGATGTGATGCTCCCTCTATCCACGGGTTTAAAAAATAGCTGTGTTCCTACTTTCACTGAAACTGATGTACGAGGATGTCTCCGGTCGCTTAATTCATCTCGATGTTTGGGACCTGATGGTATCCCAAACATCCTTTTTAAAAAATGTGCTGACGTTCTGTGTCATCCGTTCACAACTATATTTAACAGATCCTTCTCATCTAATCTCACACCGAAAATGTGGAGAAAGATGAAGATAATTCCTGTACCCAAGAAAGCATCTGGTGATAAGAATGTAAAATTTAGACCTATTGCAATAACTTCACCCTTCCTCAAAACCATGGAAAAATTATTAATATTTCCACTTCAGCTTGCGATAAAAGAGCATACTGACCCATATCAGTTTGCATACAGGCGCAAAAGAAGTACTTTAGATGCTGTTGCAGTTCTGCACCACAACATAGTGTTCAACTTAGAAAAGGGTAAGAAGTATGTTCGTTGTGCTTTTCTGGACTATACTTCAGCTTTTGACTCTATACCAAGACAACGTTTACTTAACAAGTTAATCAGCGTCAACACTGACAGCTGGATAACCAACTGGCTATGTTCCTACCTCTCTGGAAGGGAACAGTACACTGTGTTTGGAGGAAAGTGTTCAGAGTCTCTACTGTCTCGTGAAGGTGTACCACAAGGAGCTGTTCTTTCACCTCTTCTATTCTCTTTTTTTCTGCATGACCTGCCATCTTCCACATAAAACACTTTTGTGTTCGACTAGTCGAACACATACATGCATTATTTTTATTATGAATGGCTTTATTCAATATTATATTTTGGTACAATATAGAATTCTCAGCACAGGGTATTTCAACAAGTTACTTACTGAACAACGAACAAAAAAGCAGTAGCAAATACAAAAAGAAATAAAAAAATTTTTTTTTTAAAAAAAATAAAAAAAACAACAAAAAAACTGTACAAACTTTTTAAAATTAAAGACATGTTAAGAATGTAAGTTATTGACTAGGTTATTGCTAGCAACCTGTTCGTCACAGAGTATATTTGCTAGGTAAGGGTATTATAGAACTTTCATACTTTTCCTTACGTGCATGGAATTTAATGTAATTACGTCTCGTTCTACCAGAAGATATACAAGGAGAAAGATAAGAGTGAAGGGAATGGTTAGTATCTGATAAAATAACACCTGCCAGGAGTTTGCATGATTTTAAATGTCTATCCACAACCATATTAATTATGGCCTCGAAAGATTCACCACACATCTTGCTAACTGCCTTCAGCACTCTCCGCAATACAGCAAAGTCCTTTCTCAAAAGCCCAGGAAAGAATAATGGAGAACAGTAAAGAATAATAGGTAATATGCAAGAATTGACAAATTGTAAGAGTAAATGACGAGTAATCCCAAGAGCATGCAATCTCTTTATGTAGTAGGTCAGACGGAAATCCTTCTTCGATAACGATAAAACGTGTGAAGACCAAGACAGGTCAGAGGAAAAGGTGACACCAAGATAATTGACCTTCGACACTGAGTTTATCAAAGAGTCTCCGATGGTACAAGCATTATGGGATCTCAAAATAGTGTTTATATTCCGTTCATGTCTCATGCTAAAGTTAACAGCTTGACATTTAGACGGATTAAGTATGAGACCATTACCAACAGACCAACAATCAGTACAAGACAAAAACTCATTCATTTCTATGGGATGTAAAGAGGAAGATATAGGCATACATACAGTGAGATCATCCGCATACTTCACAAAAGTGTTTTCTGTGGAAGATGGCAGGTCATGCAGAAAAAAAGAGAATAGAAGAGGTGAAAGAACAGCTCCTTGTGGTACACCTTCACGAGACAGTAGAGACTCTGAACACTTTCCTCCAAACACAGTGTACTGTTCCCTTCCAGAGAGGTAGGAACATAGCCAGTTGGTTATCCAGCTGTCAGTGTTGACGCTGATTAACTTGTTAAGTAAACGTTGTCTTGGTATAGAGTCAAAAGCTGAAGTATAGTCCAGAAAAGCACAACGAACATACTTCTTACCCTTTTCTAAGTTGAACACTATGTTGTGGTGCAGAACTGCAACAGCATCTAAAGTACTTCTTTTGCGCCTGTATGCAAACTGATATGGGTCAGTATGCTCTTTTATCGCAAGCTGAAGTGGAAATATTAATAATTTTTCCATGGTTTTGAGGAAGGGTGAAGTTATTGCAATAGGTCTAAATTTTACATTCTTATCACCAGATGCTTTCTTGAGTACAGGAATTATCTTCATCTTTCTCCACATTTTCGGTGTGAGATTAGATGAGAAGGATCTGTTAAATATAGTTGTGAACGGATGACACAGAACGTCAGCACATTTTTTAAAAAGGATGTTTGGGATACCATCAGGTCCCAAACATCGAGATGAATTAAGCGACCGGAGACATCCTCGTACATCAGTTTCAGTGAAAGTAGGAACACAGCTATTTTTTAAACCCGTGGATAGAGGGAGCATCACATCAGATGACTTACGTACAAAAGACTTATTTAAGTCACAAACATTCAGCTGATTATCGCTTCTAAACTGTCCGTCACCTGTAAGTTCCTTAAAGAGTTTCCACATACTTGGAGAGTTTTTGTAAGACAAGAGTCTTTGAGTAAGCATACAGTTGAGAAGTCTAATCTCTAGGTTTATCAGACCATTTAGCTTACGAACATCATTAGAGTTCTTCTCCTTGTACATTCTTTCTTTCATCCTCCGTAGTCGTTTTAGTTGTGAAGATGTAAGTCGATCAAAACTTACAAAAATGGTTTCAGTGGGACAACAAATATCAAAACAAAATTTAAGGTAACAAGTGATAACATCAGTAGTTATTTCCAGTGAGTCACCTGTAAATATTTCTCAGTTAGTCGTATGAAACATATTTTTCAAATTTCGGATATTTTCTTCTGAGTAATTCCTATATTTGACTTTCTTGGTTTGACGTAAGAGTGTACTCTTCTCATGCTTTCCATATACTTTAGGTAGAACACGAATTATACAGTGATCTGAGCTAGACAATGGAGCACGTTTACGAGTCGCATATATACCCACATCATTAATGAAGACGAAGTCTAGATGAGCATCCAAACGGGTAGAAAAATC